ACTTGCTCAGCGCCACGTCTTTAGACTTTAATCAGGTTCAGTCCTGCCCTGTAACTATCGTGTGGGCTGAATTTCGAAGAAAAATACAGCATGGACGCTAACGTTGGAGTTCTGTTGTACAATATACTGCCTCTGCATATATATATATATATATATATATATATATATAGATATATATATATATATATATATATATATATATATATAATCTTTAAGCTGGTATTATACTTTGTGCTAAGACTACATTTCTGTCATAATATTTTTATTATGATTACTGTATGTAATTTTCTAATCTTACATGTTGTGTGTTCATCAATTGTAAGCAGGAACTGGAAATAGGTGGATGGTATGGACTTAGAATTTTATCACGATATTTTGTGATACTATTGTGATAATGATGATAAGAAACTATTGCTTCTTTAACATGACTATGGCTGTGACTTCATGACACAGCATATATGGACCTAAGTTGGAAAAACTTTTCCATTTAAGATGAGCTACTTCAGGACACCGATTTCTGAAAGAACATACACAGTAACTACCTTCAATCATTTTCAAATGTACTAATATGGAGCTAATAGCGAAAATTCAACCTGGAAGACTCCATCCCCTCCGTTCGTCCATCGGCGTCATGCTCATCTCCGACCTCAGCGCTGGACCTCACCTGGCGTGTCCAATCATCAATCAAGCTCAGCATAAAAGGATCCACACCCAAGCCGTCGGCTGCTTCCCAGCTGCGTTCAACCCACCACCTCCCCTTCTCCACCCACATCCTTCGGCTCTCCAAGATGGCACCCTTTCCAGACCTCCACCAGTATCGGGCCCCGGGGGAGAGCATCCCTAATCGGTTATCGGGATGTTCGAGTTCACATCAAATCTCAGCTCAGATCAGCTGCCGGGGCCCGAGCGCCAAAGAACCGTTATTCATTGCTGTCATTAAATCTTTTAATTGTTCCTTTTTCTTAGTCTGTCTTTCCAGATTGAATTACTCCCATGAAACAAAATGTGGAGAAAATGGCACAAATGGCATTTCTGGTCAATTTTATTTATTCTAGATTATTAATTAAAATCCATCGAGACAATGACGCATTAAAATTCTTATCATGATGTCATTTTTCACAATTAATGATGAACAATATGATAAATGCCCCCTCCTATCATAACAGACCTACTGGCTTGAAAACATCAATTAAATAACGTGTTTCAATTAGTGAATTGAGTTACTGAACTCAATATTTCAATAGCATTTTAATTTACTGAATATGACGGGGGCTGCATGACGGCACAGTTCGAAGGACTGTTGTGACAAGAAGATCCTGGGTTCAAATCCCTCTGCATAGAGTTTGCAGACTTTGTTCAAACTTGACAAATGTGCTGTTCATTTATAAAGGATTCCAATAAAATATATTAAAGTTTGTGGTTGGGGCAGAAAATACTTTTTTTGTTAAAATACAGAATAACATACTTAAATTTTATTTGACTGTCTATTTTGAAACGTAGAAAACTCCAACTTCCAATATGGATGGTCACAAACCTCTGCCCTTGGACACCGACTTTAGCAAATTAGTTTTAGGTACAGACAGCATATTTTCTTCTTTGGGTTGCTTTAATGCTGGTGTGCTTTTTGCTATTGATTGGCTATTCAACTTGCCTACTTGCATTTCTACAGCCCTTTACCCATCCTACTCATGTCTACCATGCAACAATTTCAAGCATTTGTCTTTCGTCAATTCTGTATTGCTTAAAATGAATTCTGTCTTTGTGATTTTGTTATGGATGTTTGCATTTTTGTCATTTCAAACATCTTAAGTTGGCTTTCCAGAGAAAATCAGCCTGGATATAGTTTTAGAACCACAGGCCTGCATTCCACATGCTGTCTGAGCTAAAACTGGAAACTTTAGAGTGCAGTAATTTTGTCTTATATTTAACACGGAATTTGCAAGAAGCAAGAGGACAATGAGTCAATACATCAGTGCCTCACAAGAAAACACAACTGCTTTCAACAATTTGGAGTCATTCTAATTCAAATGGTGCTGAAAATAAAAGGTGTTGCCTGCCAAAAGGTGTTGGAATCCAGCTCAGGAAAGGATTTAAATAGCAAGATTTGTTACTAAGTCTGGTTTTTGATCAATTTTTATTTCTCTTGAAAAAAATATGTATGTATATTACACTTGGTTCAAAGCCTATTGTTATTTCGAAGTCACTTGACTATCGTATATACGAAATAGTGACGGCTACAGACGTTTACCACTTCTGTTTAGTGGCTAGAAGAGCTTTTTTATGACATATCAATGCAGGAAGAGCTTGGCTAAGGTGCTACCTTCAAGTTCTCCTTGTAGAGAAAGTTAGCGCAAAAGAAAATGCCGCTGAAAAACTGTGGCCGAGTCTGAATTCATCTATATAAGTTCCTACTCAGACGTCAAGTTGTGAAAATATACCGGACTTTTATTATTCTTATGCTTAGCAACTAAAGCGTACCAGAAAGAAGATGAGCCGAGTTTCTGTGCACCATCAGTTCCTGAATGCAGCTCAGATGATAGAGGGGGGTGCGGGAGGAGTGGGTGGGTGGGTGTGACGTCATGGCACAGTGCCCCCTCCATGTTTGGAGGAGAAGTTTGTGTTGCTTCGACAAACTTCAGACACCATACTGTAGATGCGCGGAACACAGCAGACCGTTAACTCTTTTTCTGCCCCCTATTTTCCGCTGGTATCAACTTTACATTATATTACATTTCGTACAAGTTAATTCTTTTGCTAGAAATAATAACGTTGGTTACAAATCCCGACCAAGGCTCGCTCTTGGAGCTGAATTTTATGCGCCGTTCACGGACCTTGAATTACATATTGGTTCCGCTGGCCAACCGTCGCTATGTTTTATTTCAGGTTTGTTTCCGGTAGTTAATACATGGAGACCGTCTGTTCCGTCGATTGCCTCGCATGTTCGCATCCTACGTCGGTCGGTTTTGTATGAACCATTGCGAGACAGCGACGTAGGGTTGGAGGCTCCGCGAGCGGAGCCAGACTTTATGATGGGGATGCCCAGGGGAGGACGTCTGTTCCTGGCGACGTGCCTCTGCTCGTTCTTCGTTCTTGTTCTTTACTTCCAGAGCATCACTAAACCAGGTATGCATCTACACTGCCTTCTTGAACTTTCAGACATTATAGAGAAATATTTCTATTGAAAATGTTCTATTTTTTGTGACCAGGTCACAATGCTGTTTTTCTTTTTAAGTATAAAGCCCGTTTATAGTTATTTTTTTTCCACCGTGTTCAGTCCTGGCAACTGAGGCAAACAGTTCAGTGGGTCTGGTTGCATTGCAGTGTTATTGTAGGTTTACTTTCTAAAAGCGAAGGATGGAACAACAACAAAACTAGAAACTGTGCAGGAAATAGAAGATAATCTGAAAAAGTGTTTGTATTGACAGGCCACTTTATTAGGTGCACCTGTTCAACTGCTTAATAAATCCAGTAAGCTAGTTTGTATCTGAAAGCCTTGTTAATGTCAAAGGCGCGCGCGCGCACACACACACACACACACACACACACACACACACACACACACACACACTAGTTTAAAGTGATAGAGAAGCAGCAGTAGCTGAATTAAGCTCTCATTTGTTAAGATCTAGTTATGTAGAACCTTCAAGCCAATTGGCTACAGTTGCAGCAGGCCACACCTGGTGCGAAGAAAAGAAAAAAAGGTAAACCGGGATTGCAATTCTCACAGGTCTGCCAAGATGGGAAATAAACAGATTCCTATTTGGTCGGAATTCGGCATAAATCAGTGGCTAGTTTCTTGGCCGGTTTTGTTTCCATAGCTTCCAACCTAGCATCATTTGAATGCAGCATACCTGATTTTATATTGTTTCTGACCATAACTGTCCTATTGTAAACACAGTGTACTTTTTTTTGGATGACTATGTTCAAAAGAGCTTTAATAAGGTATGATGTATTTTTTTAGTGTCAGTTTTGCTTGTATTTTTCATCAACAACAAATAGACACTTTAGTATAGGTGTAAAACAGATGGTTTGATTAAAGTGAATGAAATGATGTATGAATAGACCCACTGTGAAGACTGGAATGTTTTCAGAACCCCCTCTTCGTCCCTCCTGAAGACCCCCTGCATTCCACACGGCTGTATCCCCCTTTCCTCTTCATGCTCTTCTGTTTCTGTCTCCGGCTGAACCCCCTTTCTGCAGAGCAAATGGCGGGTTGACAGTTTCTGCAGGTTTTTTAAAGGCAGGTTGCAAGTGGCTCTTTGGACCTTTTTCTATGGCCAATAGAAAAAGCCACTATTTAATTACAAATTCTGGCTTAAGCAGTTTTTTCATGTAAAAAACAATGAAAAGTGAATGAAAAGCTATTTCATTCACTTCATTAAGTGAATGAAATGGCTTTCATTCACTTAGTGAAAGCTATTTGTAAGTATATTACTCTAAAAATACTTGTACTATTATTTTAGATATATTTTTCAGTTGTTATTAAGTTGGAAACTGTTTTTTTTCCCCAATTTGAACATCACATAGAAGGAAACGTATTCATCTTCTTTTTTGCAAAAGTTTTAAGGTTTCCTTTACTGTAAAATCTAAAAACAGAAATAAAATGTTCTTCTTTGAAATGACAACAAAGTTCCTGAAGTAGAAATTGATCAAGAAATGTAAGTTCTCTACACTGTAAAACAAAATCAACTCACTCACTTTGACTCAGTTGAGCTTTCTTGCTGCTTTGACTCAACAAAGTGTTTTGAACTTTAACTGCCAAGTTCAAAACACTTAATGAAAGCTATTTGTAAGTATATTAAATAAAAATAGTCATTAAGAGAAATGTTTAAAAAGTTGCCCCAACTTACTTAGTTTTTACATTACTACGTCAATTTGACATAACTTAACATTTTACAGTTTTATAATTTATTTCTAATTTAAGTCAACTTTGTAATGTTAATTTTTTACTTTAAAATGTTAATTCTTTGATTATAAATTATGCTAGTGAGTCTAAATGAGAGACACAGAGTTTTATGGACATTATTTTATTAAAGTTAGGAAAATGTTTAAAATTCATACAATAGCATGCTTTCTGTATCGGCTGAGGAGTAACGGTTGATGGCAGAGAAGCAATTGGCCGAAGAGAAAAACATTTTTTATTTAAATTTTTTTAAAGCATGCATGACAAAGAAACAAGAAAGTGAAAGGAGGAGGAGAGCAGTGGAGAAGTTGATCAGCAGGTTTCGTGTTGAGTGTCTTTCTACGTCAAATCGATTGGAAATTAAAATTTGATGTAAGAAAACAAAAAAAACTCCACACCTGGCCGTTTCCCAAATCACTTTGGAACTGTCGTAAACCACCTTTTATTGCCAGACACCAAAACACTAACCACATGCTGCTGACCCTACAAACGGCACACTTACAGCACTCTCATTGACTTACCTCCACACGCTCCGGCCCTGACTGCCCGGCATGTTCGAACTCGTCTTTTTGCTAAGAAAACCACACGTAAAGCCGGTCTGAGCCACATTAGACGGCACTAGTTCACAGGATGTCAAAAAAGCAAAGGCAATTCTGTAATTACTGTTTATGCGCACAAAGTGAGACCAAAACCAACCGGTCATGTCTTGTTCGGTTCTGTGTTGCTGTGGTGATTTGTACCTTTTTAATTTCTAGCATCAGTTGATACATTACTGACAAAAAGAGTCTGTATCCATGGCACTTACTGCCGTCCAAACAGTTCTTTGCAATACAGTTTGGAGTATGCAAACTGTATCGCAGTTTAGAAGGGTTAGAACATTTTGAGGAATAGCCAAAGTGAGACAACACTTTCAGTTTGCCCTCTTCGTGAACAACTAAAGAGAGGGCATAGGAAAGGTGGGGCTTACCTATCCACCTCCTTTATTATTATTTTGCTGTAGTAATAATAATAATAATAACTATTATTATTATTACGCTGGATAATAAATTGTCCCAGAAGTTATGATAATGTTTTTTTAAGACCATTGTTATGCTGTTACCATATAATGGTAACAACATAATAATGCAAGGACACTTTGTCAAAGACCAAAATACTTTAAATTCTAATGAACATTTAACACTGGAACTGGAAGACATTTTAAATATCCAGAATAAATAAATGAAACAACAGAACCATCATCCATCCATTATCCAACACACTTATCTCTTGTGGGCTTGCGAAGGGTGCTGGTGCCTGTCTCCAGCGGTCAGTGGGTGAGAGGCGGGGTCACCTGGACAGTCAACCTCAGGGCAACAGAGAAACAAACAGGACAAACAACCAGGTGAGAGGCGGGGTCACCCTAAGGAGAATTTAGAGAGACCAGTCAACCTAAAAGTCATGTTTTGGGACTGTGGACAAAAACAAATAAAGTTAATAATTATGAATTCTCTGTACAAAATTGACCTTCAAAAAGAATGATGACTTTTATCATCCAGGTTTTAGTAGAGAGAGAGAGAAAAGAACAAAAAACAGTAAATCATGAAAATGGAAATTATATTATTCCGTTTACGGTAATACCAGTGAATTTCTTTAGGTTGGGGAAAGCGGAGCAGTAGCAGGAACATGAATGCTAAAAACCAAAACACTAACATGCAGTTATTACTTCAGTGGAGATGTTGATGACCAATGGAACTGAAAATAAACAAAGTTCCTTTTCAAAAGGAAGATTTTCTTTCATAGTAAAACAAGATTTGTAGTTTTTGATATAATAACCAAAGGATAATTCTCCAATAAAAGCAATGCCTCAAACACAAAAACTATGAACAAAAATCTAGAAAAAGAACAACTAAGTCTGATGAAAAATATAACTAATACTACTAGCAATAATAATGATATAATTTTGCCTAACAGTTGTTGTTTTGGAATTAAATTAAATTAATTTGAGTTAGACAGAAGAGTTTGAAACAGCATACTTCATGTTTTAACCCTTGTGTTTACAAATGGGGTCCAACTGACCTTACACCCATATCACTTGTGTATCAGTTGCCTCAGTCCTCGAATGCACAAGGGTTAAGATTGGATATCTACAGACCTATTAAAAAAATTGGAATCTTATTGAGAAGTCAATTAATCACTGGAACTTTATTACATTATTTAAATTAATTACACAAAGATGAATGTTTGAAAGATGTCAATAAAAGCACAATGAGTTCATTGTTAAAAATGACATAAAAGTGATATTTCAATAATAATAATATAATAATTATAATTGTACATGCTTAGAGTACACCTGATAGTCCAGTAGTCTCGGTTCGATTGGGGACCAAAATTGCATGTGTTACATTTTCAGCTGCCGAGGTTCGCTTTCACTCTGCACCATGTCAAATGATCCAAACCCTTTGAAAATCCTGTCCACCTTCTCACCTGCGGTGGCACTGCACCAAAAACTACTTAGAAGGAAACAACACAAAAACCACAGAAACAAGAGCACAACTTACTTTTGTTTGCTGGTTTGATGAAATATAAACAAAAATAGAGCGGCATCACATTTTAGTGGTAGGATTTCTATTTTGTCCTTTATCCTTGCAAAGGATCTGATCTAGCTTTCCTGGAGGATTAGCAACACAGTCCCCACTTTAAAAGATGGTGGTGGTCAGTGGCGTTTCTTCCAGTCCCAATAAGATAGATTTATGTCAAAGTGTAAAAACGTTCAGCGAGTTTTTCACAACTCTATATGCAAAACTCAAAAATGTAAGAACATTTTATTGTCCAACAAGGTGGCATTTTTTCTTTTAGCTCTCCAACCATAAGGACACAAAAATATATACAATCACAATAACAACAATTAATTCTAATACAATTCTAAATGTATTAGAATAAAACATTTTTTCATGGCATACGTGAATGCTGTGATTTAGTTTGGTTAAGAATGATTATTGCACTTGGAATAAATTATGTAATTGCCAGATTGGCCCCATGTCACTTTCCTGATCTCAAAAGACGGAAAAGAGGATGGATGCTATCTACTGCAATATTCCTTGCCGTCTTCCATGTTCTTTCCGCTAACAAATGAGACAGAGCTTTTGTGGTTTCACCACTATTGTACCTGCCATTGAAACATTTCTTAGAAAGTTTGATGGTTTGATGAAAAGTTAAAACACTCAACTGCCTTGTCTGCAAG